CTGCTCGGCAGGAAGCCTGCTTCTCCCTCTCTCTCTCCCCCTGCTTATGTTCCCTCTCTCGCTGTCTCTGTCTCTGTCAAATAAATAAATAACATCTTTTACAAAATTCAAAACTGGGTTTTTGAATATGACTGGTAGAGCCATAACTAAGGCAAGGCATACTGGAATCAGCACACGAAAGACTGATCATGCTCTTGGATAGCAGCTGCATAGGAAATTGTAATGGACATACTCTGTATATACAATGTGCTCCATAATTTAACTTGAAAAATAATGTCTGGTATATAATAGGTCCTCATTAAATATTTATTAATAGGTCCTTGATAAATATTTTTTGAATGAATGGTGAAATTTGCCTTTGGCATTTTTTTTTTAAGATTTTTTATTCATTCGAGAGCGAGAGCATGAGCAGAGGCAAGGTCAGAGGGAGAGAAAGAAGCAGACTCCCCACTGTGCAGGGTGCCCAGCATGGAGCTCGATCCCAGGACTCTGGAACCTGAGCCAAAGGCTTAACCAACTGAGCCACTCAGGTGCCCCTGCCTTTGACATTTCTATCAATCAGGTTTTCACTGGAGAAACAGACCACCAGGAGATACATATTGAGAGATTTATTGCAGGGAATTGGTTTATACAGCTGTGGACACTGGCTAAGAAAGTCCAAAATCTGAAGGCCAGACCATAAGTAAGGGTAGGTTGGAATTCTCCAGCACAGGATGAAGTTGCTGTCCACAGGTAGAATTTCCTCTGCATCAGCGAAGCCTAAATTCTGCCATTAAGGCTTTTCAACTGATTGAATTAGATCTACCCAGCTTATCTAGAACAATCTCCTTTACTTAAACTCAATTATTGTGGACTTAAAGCACATCTACAAATACCTAGGTTGGTATCTGTTTGAATCACTAGGGACCGTAGCCTAGCCAAGTTGACACATTAGAAAACATCACACCATTCCAGGCACCAAATGCTTCTTTCTGGGCCACAATCCCTAGTTGTCTGGGACACCTGCTCAGACTTTGAATCTAGATATTTCACCGTTATGAATCAGAGAGAGCTCTCAGTTGACTTTTAACTAGAAAAAGAAGCTAGTTAATGAATTCACACTAAGATGTTAATATACTGCTCTTCTGTTCTAGTTAGGCCTGGAATAGCTGGAAGGAAGAGACATCTCCCCAAGTTAGTTCAAGAAAAGCAGTACTAATTTTTTTTTTTTTACGATTTTATTTGAAAAAAAAAAAAAAGATTGTACTTATTTGAGAGAGAAAAAACAGGAGCAGGAGGAGAGGGTAGAGGGAGAAGCTGACACCCCACTGAGGAAGGAACCCAATGCAGGACTTGATCCCAAGACCCTGGGATCATGACCTGAGCCAAAGGCAGATGCTTAACCCACTGAGCCACCCAGACAGATGAAAAGCAGTACTATTTAAATGGGCCATTAGATGGTTGGGGCTGGAGATGGTTATGGATTTCGGGTAGCTGTGGGGACTTGAACAGCAGAAATTTGCGATCCCTCAGTCTTGTCATTAAAATGATATTTTCCTTTGATTCTTTGTTTCAATAGCAACTGATAAGTCTTTTCATACTTCCAGTTCAAATTTCCAAGAGAAAGAATCTTGACTTAGCCAATAACTTTTATTTCTATGGGTAGAAATGTCCTGTATTCCAAACCCGGTTCTAGGTAGCTGGCCAGGTGCCTTTCTCTTCGAAGAGAACATCCCAGTGCTGTTTTCCTGAGCAGAGACTTTGGTCAGGTAGCTGAAGCTAGAAGGGAAAGTCAGGCATGACAGGCACACTGACTGACATATTTAGAACATCATCTCAAGGTTATCTCTTATTTAACTGAGTAATAAATTAAATTTTCAGAAATAAGATTCTGTAGTTTTGGAACTTTAGGCATAACTGAAAGGGAGAAAGTTTTGGATTTTTGGCCTTGGGTAGGGAGAGTCTGATTCCTTTGATATGAGGCATCTAGGAAACATTACACATCAAGATTGTGGGCCACTTATCCATAACAGTCCTTATTTTACCTGAGAAAAGATGGGCTTGGAGGCACCTGCGTGGCTCAGTCAGTTAAGTCGCTGCCTTTGGCTCCGGTCATGATCCCGGCATCTTGAGATGGAGCCCTGCATTGGACTCCCTGCTCAGTAGGGAGTCTGCTTCCTCCTCCCCCTGCCCTTATGCTCTTGCTTTCTCTCTCCCTCCCTCTCAAAACAAACAAATAAATAAAATCTTAAAAAAAAAAGAAAAGAAAAGATGGGTTTGATTAACTGTCAGTGGTCTTCCTATAGCACAGAACTTTAAGGCCTATTTTATAGTCTTATCCCCAAAGGTGCTTTGAGCAAGTTACAACTAGCATTTAACATTCTGCAAAATTATTGTAACTTGTTTTTTGTCCAGAAAAATTATGTATGCTTGCTACTTCGCAATATTTTTTTGAGACTCAGAAAAGCCAACCTCCAAGTACCCATGATTAGAAAAGGAATGGGGGTGGTTGGCTGGCTCAGTGGGTAGAGCATGTGACTCTTGATCTCAGGGTCATGAGTTCAAGCCCCATGTTGGGTGTAGAGCTTACTTGAAAAGAAAAAGAATGGGTTTTCCTTTTAATTGGATTATATCACTGTCAATTGTCTGGGTTTTAAAAAGATCAGATAACCTTGTCTAACCTGTGAAACAGAAAACTTCACCAGAAAAGGGCAGGAAATGTATTTTAATTGATATCTGAATATTGTTAATTAATATTGAAAATGGAAAGTAAAAGGTACTTATTGAAAAACCCTTGTTAACTTACTGTCAGAATGTCTAAGTCATTGTTTTATTAAAGACCAATTAGTCTTTAGAAGACTAAAAGAAGGGAATCTCTCTTGATATTTGGCAGATTTTTTCACATCTCACTATCTCATATATGCCTTTGTCCTACAAAAGTTAATTTAATACCTAGTAACCTAGAGAAATATGCATATAATACAATGTGGCCAGCAGGTCCAGCTTCTATTTTGGAAAGACAAAGGACATGTGATACCTACTTTGCACATGCTTTTCATTTCATCTCCTTTTTCTTTTTCTTTTTTTTTTTAATAGTTTATTTTTAGAAATCTCTACACCCAACATGGGGCTCAAACTCAGCACCCTGAGATCAAGAGTCACATGCTCTTCCAACTGAGCCGACCAGGCACCCCACCTTTAATACATTCTTTGTGTGTGTATTTATAAAAATATGTGCTCATAGCAAAGTATCAGGAAAATGCTAAAAATTATTTTAAAAGTTCATAATTTCATCATTCGTAAACATCTACTATTAACACTTCGGTAAATTTCCTTTGCATATATATATATATATGTATGTATACTTTTTTGTACTAGGGTTTTTTTTTTTAAGATTTTATTTATTTATTTGAGAATGAGAGAGAGAATGAGAGGGAAGAAGGTCAGAGGGAGAAGCGAACTCCCCATGGAGCTGGGAGCCCGATGTGGGACTCGATCCGGGGCTCCAGGATCATGACCTGAGTCAAAGGCGTAGCTCAACCAACTGAGCCACCCAGATGCCCTCCTTTGCATATATTTTTACAGGACAGTAATTGCCTTGTAGATACAAATTTATCTTTTTTTTTTCTAAATAAAACCAACAAATGCAATGACCTTGTGATTTTTTTTTTTTGTCGACATGAATGGATTTTTTTATGTTGTTGATTATTGATGGATATTAACACTCTTCTCTAATTCCTTATTTCCCAGGCATCCTTTTTTCCTTTCATTATTTTAAAATATGCTATTTTGTTCATATAAAAGAATATATGTAATCTATGTGTAGGTTATAAACCATGTAAGGAATATCCGTGGGCCCTCTGCTAATCCAAGAACTAGAGTTTACCAATAATTTGTATAATAACCTACGTTCTTCTCTTTCATCCCCTTCCTCCCCCAACTATTGTTTAACCTAAATTGAAACAACTAAATTAAAAACTGAAAATTTTATCCCATCAAATTGATTTTTTTCATTGATGCTAATAAAATTCCCATTTTGTTACCAAGGTTTCTACTATTTGTGTTGTGACTCTATCACACAGCCAGGTGAACTGTTTCCTTTGTGATAGCTTTAACCTTAATCCTCACTTGTTTTCCTAGGCTGCTTCCGGTACCAACTTCCCTTCTAAGTTATGTTCTTTTTCATTTCGAAAGTCCAAGGCCAGTGTGACAGTTAAGAATTATGCTCGTGTAACTGATGCATAGAAAAAAAAAAAAAAAAGACAGACATATTCGCATCTTTTAAAAATTCCTCATTTAAGAATGACATTTAGGATTAAGAGAGGCATTTCATCACCGTTACTGCTGACCATCAGTGGTCTTCTAAGAACCTATAAAGTTAAAAGGCTTTAAAAGTGTGGCAAAGTTCCTTCTGTGTGATTTAATAACGGTGTGACCTTGCATGTGTTACAGATATCCCAGCCCTAGTTTTTCTCTCATTTCTTAAACGGGATTAGCAACAACTTGTTCACGTTACTGGGTTATTTGTGAGGTACAATACTGTCTGTAACAGAACTCCTACCCAAACGGTAATTATTTAAAAGGAAAGAAAAATGACCTTGAATTTCAGCGCGAAGGAGGTGACTGTTAAGGACTGTCTGCACAAACTCTCCACCGCAACAGCTGAGGCAGAGGCTAAGGAAAGCTTTTCTGTGCCGCCAGTGCACTTTCCGGTCGATTTGGGAAAAGGGAATGGACGGTTTGAGGTTTCTTCCAGCGCTAAAACCCGTAGCGTTTCCTACAGTGACTGTTAACTGTCCTACACCATCCACTCTCCTCCAGCGCCGAGCTACTCAGTTAAAGGCATCAAGATTTGCCTAGTCCTTTTCTCGTATCACCAGGAAAACTGCCTCCGGACCCAGTCCTGGCTCCTCCCCCTCGCCCACAATGCATCTCTCTGTTCCATCTAGGTGGCGGCTCTGTCACGTGTCACCCAACGGAGCGCGCTCCCGCTTGGCGCATGCGCAGAGAGCATACCCCAGCTATTTTTCTCCGTGGCAGCGGCGGCGAGCGGAAGTCCTTGGGAGCGCCAGTTCCGTCTGTGTGTTCGAGTGGACAAAATGGCGAAGATCGCCAAGACTCACGAAGGTAAGCACTCTTCCCATGGTTAGGTGTCTTCTCGGCTGCCCAGCCTGCCCACACTCTATTTTCCTAGTTTTTTGCCTCGGCTTGTGGTTTCTTTGGTGGGGTGCGGCGCCCGCGCTTGGGGGTCCTGGTGGTTTCCTCCGCGCTAGCGGCGCAGGCCACTGCCCCACGTAATGGCGTCCTACTCATACAGCGCCGGTAGGCGCTTTGTTCCGTGTTTGGGTGCTATTCCTTCAGAGTTGCTTCTCTTTTCTGGCCGGAACGCCTCGTTCAGACGCCTCGCCAACAAGGAGTCCAGGGCAAGGGATCGGGAAAACGGGCCTGGAAGCCTAAAGTCTCGCTCGCCTTTCGGAACTGTTGTCCGCACGGATTTTGCATAGGAGAGTCAGGAAGCACCGAAATACGGCAGCCGCTTTTCAGGCGGCCCCAGATGGAGTTAGCCTAACCGAGACCCATGCCTCTTAATCTTGTCTAATTTGTGTGTCTTCAGGCATCTAAAATACTTCGTTTTGGGTTTTTTGGTACGAAGGGATTTGGGAATAAAATTTAGTGGTTTTTCTTCCCTTGATCACTTGAATATTGGTCTTGTTCTTTGGAGACTGATTATTGGCGGAAGAAGGAAAAGCACATGATTTTTATTAATGGCCAAAGCTTTCGAGATAGTTGATCGTTTTATGGAGTACGGAGAATACAAAATTAGGAAAATGCTGAGAATAGGCGGCGTCCTTTAGGGAGTACCAGTACCCAGAAATGGCAGGAAATAGGGTCACTTCAGAAAAGATGAGGCATGGGAATTTGGAGGTGAATTTCTTGATTTCTGACGTGGAATCTGAGGTGTTCATCAAACACGAGGTTTCCAAGAGTCGCTTCTGTTTCACTCGTCGTTTCCAGGTGCCTGGTTTAGTATGAGTCTGAAGTAACAAAGAGTAAGGCCGTCAGAAGTTTTACAGGCTAATGGGGAAACGTGTATACGTCTTCATTCTTTTACGAGGCAGATTAATGCTTAAATGGAAATACAACATGTTGGGATCCTGGGTAACGGAGCGATTAATGTACGTTTAGGACTGCTTCATAGAGGAGATGACGTGTCCCTGGTCGAAAAGGATCAATCCGTTTTAAATTAGGGTGGCACATTTGAGCTTGAGAGAACATCTTGTAACGAGGCAGGGAGTCGTGGAAAGTGTGTTTGAGTAGTGGACTGTGGCAGTGCAAGGAAGGAAAATGTAGACGAATCTGGAAAGGTTGTTTGGGACCAGAACGTGAATGACATCGAATAATTGTGTTACCCACTAGAACTGAAGTCCAGCTTTCTGCAACTTCTGAAACATGCTAATTAATTGGCAGTGATTTTTAATATTCTTTTTAGATTTCAGCACTGTTTTAACCCTGAAGGGTTTTTAGGCACTTACTCTTCTGTCATTAGACTAATTTAGACATACCTTGCAGAGTGATTAGAAGATGCAAAGATGTTGCTATTGTTTGTTCATTTGGGGCATTTTGTGGCATTGATTACTTGTTTATTGGTACTTTCAAGATCCTTTTGGACAGGAAAATCAAAGTTTGGATCAGTTTTCCTGCTTTTCTGAAACCCAGTTAAAAACTGGTCTAGAGAAGATTGAAATTCATTGGCCAAATTTGCTATTTTACTTGGAATCCTTTCAGTGTGAAATAACGGATGCTGTAAAGAAGTGTAGGAGTGTTCAGTTAACATTAGGGCACTGTGTACAAGACACTGCCTATCACTGAGTATAAGATAGAGGTGGTAAATGTTTAGTGGAAGTGCACTGTAATGTTTACATAGTTTCCTACTTCCTTCCTCGTGATATTTTTCTAAAGAACTGTAGTCCTCTATGGTGCATCTCTGTTTCCGCGAATAAGTCATCTCTGAGAACTGGAGCAGAATTCTTGGTGGGTTTTTATTTTGTATCTTTGTGGTGCTACCGTAGCACTTTATTATATTCGAATAGTCTGTTGTGGGAAGGTATTCATCCACTTGGAGCTGATTGTGTGCCGGAGCTCTAGCTCGTATCCCCGGTACCTAGTGCCTGATGGGTACTGCATATTAACATTTATTGAGAGATTATATTGGAAATACCAAAAGTTTCACAGGAAGAGATCATTTTAAGCTAACTTCGGAATGATTGGATAGGTTTGGATACATCGTTTGGCTGAGATAAGTGAAAGTAGGACTTACGAATATATTGGGAACCTCCTGAACTGAGAGGAGGAAGCGTTAGGTTAGCATCACATTAAAGGTTCCGAATACTGCACTAGATTGGGCTTGGCTTTCCAGTGACTACAGAATAAAGTGCCTTACTCCTTCTCCCAGGTGACATGTTACTTCTGCGTTTTAGGAAAGTCGTTCGCAGTGTGAAGAATGACAGACCAACAATTCTTTTAAGTTAGTGGAGTAGTTGATATAGGAGGACTGGAGTATGAACCTCACTGGAGTTAATTTTTAAAATGTATAGTACTTGTTTTATTTTTTAGAGTTAGCCAGCATATTGCCTTTTTTTTTTTTTTTTAGGCTATGGTTTTTTGTTTTGTTTTCTTTTAGATTTTATTTATTTATTTGAGAGAGCAAGAGATAGAGGGAGCAGAAGCACGGGAGGGGCAGAGAGAGAGGGAGAAACAGACTCCCTGCTGAGCAGGGAGCACGATGAGGGGCTTGATCCCAGGATCCTGAAATCAGGACCTGAGCAGAGGGCTCAACTGACTGAACCCCCAGGCGCCCCCCCATCATGTTGCTCTTTTAAGTAAAGAAGATTATGTAATCTTTTTATCCTAAGTAATGTTATTGATAAAGACTTTTCTTTGTTGTGTTTTGTGATTTTATTTTTTAATTTTTTTAAAAGATTTATTTATTTGTCAGAGAGAGTGAGCACAGGCAGACAGAGTGGCAGGCAGAGGCAGAGGGAGAAGCAGGCTCCCTGCTGAGCAAGGAGCCCGATGTGGGACTTGATCCCATGACCTGAGCCGACGGCAGCTGCCCAACCAACTGAGCCACCCAGGCGTCCCGTGATTTTATTTTTAAAGTAATGGTTGCATCAATAATTTTTACTTCAGTTTTGTGAATAAAATAATAGTGTTCAGACTGAACTAGGTTATTGCTGTACCATCCTATATGTTTTTTTCACAGATTATTCCCATTGTTGAGCCAAACTGATTACTGTTTATTTTTCTAATGCTGTCATATTCCTTTTGAGTATTTCTGCTAGGATCAGCCCTTAACATCCTCTTTAAGCAGCCTGATTGTTTATTACTGTCGTGGCTTACATTGTTCCGTATTGAAATCTAAAAAGAGCTGGACTGGCTCACATCAATAAAATCTTTTGGACCTTTCTGCATATTAAGTTGTGTCAAGTGTATACAGTTGTTGAAGTACATAATCTTGCTCTCCAGCAGTTCACATATTGTCGACGTTGACAAACGAAACACTCTCTTTCATCTTGGAATGGGGAAAACGGATTATCCTAAAATCTCATATATTGGCTCGTTTTGCCACTGTCTCTTGAATGGATTTTGGGGGGATCACAAAGCTGAAAAAGGTTTTTCCCTAAATTTTTGCTTTTAGAATGTCTGGAATAGTCGTAGTCTTCATTTTCTGAGATTTTTATTTTTCTGTGTTCAGAATACTTAGTATTTTGGTTTTGTAGGCTTCTAGTGTGAATGTTGCTAGTAAAAAAAGCAAATTGCTTAGATTTTTACTATGTAATTATTTAAGAATTGATTTAAGTAGTGCTAATAAGGGATTAATAAATAAGGAATTGATACTATAGTGATTAGTTAAAAAAATGACCACCATAGTGTTCTTGTTGAGCTTTGTGTAAGGAAAAGTGTGAGAGTTGGGATATAGAATATACTTTCTATTTTCTGGATGTCTTTTAAAGGTGTCATATGTGAGAAATCCTTGCTCACTTGCTTCTGCCTGTTGGAGAATAGGTAACACGGACCAGACTAAGGTGTAAGTAACATCCAAGGGCTGTGCCTCTGTGACATGTAATGAACAGTGATTATAACATTGAAAACAATCTAAATTAAAAATGAGGAATAAAAAGATACATCAAGGAGGAGAAAATGCTGCAAGCTGGATTAACATCTGGAGCATGGAAGAAAGAAAAGGCACAAAAGTGGAAACCAGTAGAGAAACAGAATTGGTGGAGAGCAGTTAAACAGTTTTATCAGATGTGACTAGTGATGTTTTGTCTCAAAGTTTGATATTTAGGTTGCAGGTTAAATTATAAACAGAAGGTAGATGTTGCCCATCTTTTAAAAGACCCCCCCCCAGTTCTGCACTACTCTTTTGAAGTCACACTCAACTCCCACTTAAAACATATGATGTATTCATATCAGAAATGTTTGTAATTTAAATATTTATCACCTTTTTTCTGAATATAAAAGTAATGTAATTTTAAAGGAAATGAAAAGTGGAAGTCATTTTTAAAAAATATTTATCGATTTGCACAGAGAGTGTGCTGTGCACAAGCAGGGGGAGTGGCAAGCAAAGGGAGAAGCAGGCTCCCTGCTGAGTAAGGAGCGTGATATATGGGACTCATGACTTGAGCCAAAGGCATACACTTAACTAACTGAGCAACCCAGGCATCCCGAAAATTATTTTTGAATGAGTTGAGATACCAAGCGGACTAGCTCACAAATTTCATTAATTCACACTGTTAATTAATGTCTATCTTCTAGGGAAGGGTTTGTTCTCTGATACTTGGAAGCATTCCTAGGATCAGAAATCCCCTCCAAAAAGAGGGGAATTTCAATCGAATAATGACATTTATCTTCTGTAGGTAGTTGGAGCAAATTTAGTTTGGAAATGTATGTTTATATCTTAACATTTATTAAGATTTTACCTTACCATCAGCAAAATAAATAAAACTAGAAAAGGAAAAGAAATGACGAAGATCGAGAAGAATTGGGGCTTTTAAGATGGAAGATATTTCATAAAAGAGCTAAAAAAAAAATTCTGTTTACATCCAGCAGAGGACTCCATTTCA